CCCCCCTCCGCCACCAGCCCGATTTGAAAGGGCCTTTTTTTTTCCGTGGCTCCGCGTTCCCTTTAGGTGACTTTTGCCTCCCGGAGAGGTTTGAAACCTCGCACATTTTTCTGTATAAATGATGCAACACATTAACGCACAGCACATTATGAAAATGGTAATTCAAACCCATACAACTCTAAATTAAGCCATACATTATCCGACCCACTCAGCCATATATTTTGCAGAAAGACAGGATTGAATCAAATCAAACCGAAACTGTGGAGTGCAGGTTGTTAGACAGAATGATTAATAAAGTGCATCCCGGTGCTCTTATTATAAAATGAATTCTGCAGTAACCTGGGCATACATTAGAGAGGGAGTTATTTAATATATTGGCAACACAATCGTTCCCCAGCAGATAAAGCCCCCGAGTGTCGACTGCGATCAGACGATGCTTCGCAGCGGTTACACAGCCCGGCCCCGCTGCTGCAGTCCTCGGGGAGGGGGAAAACATTCCTGGGGGAACCTTCTGCTGGGCAGGACGTATCCAGACAGCACCCAGCTCCCACCATCGGCGCAGGGACGGCTCCGATCGGGAGCTGGGAGCATCCTGGTGTGAGGAGGGGTTTAAGGAGAGAGGAGACGGACCCTCATCGCAAAAAGGGGGTGCACCCGGCAGCGTGCCCCGCTCTGGAAGACCCCTATGGGATGCTGGGCTGTGCTGGCCCATGGTGGCTACTCTCCTTCTGGCATGGACCTGGCATCCCTGAGAGCTGTGCCGGGCTACGGAGCCTCCTGCGATCCATGGGCATCACGGCATCGCCCTCTGGCCCCGCGGCAGCGCCTGGCTACGGCCGGGGAGAAGCACGGCTTCTCCGTTGGGAGCCCCCCAACACCGGCACCGAGCAGCCGTGGTAGGGAGCTGCGACAGGCACAGCAGCATTTCGGAGCTGCATCCGAGGAGCCATGATTTACGCCGGGGACCGGTGATGCCCGAGCGAGGCCGACACCGAGCAGCATCACCGACGGGAGCGGGGACCACATCCAGGGAGCAGCGATGCTCAGAATCCCCAGGATGCCTCCGAACGGCACCGGGCAGCCCCACGGCAGAGGGGGTGGCAGCAGAGGAGCTGTGCCCACCGGGATGCCCTCCTCCACGGGGAATGTTGGCTGCAAACGCCCAGGGCCAGAGGGGAAACAGGGACTGGAGACACAAGGACCGGAGACACCGGCGCGGTGACAGGAGCCAGGGCCTGGCATCCCTGTCCTGCCGCTGGCCACCGGGCAGAGCCCACGGCCACAGCAAAGCCCCTCTGCTCCAAACCCATTCCTCCACATCCCAGACCTTCATCCTGCAAACATCCCACCCCGACGGAGCGGAGCCACCGTGGGCAGACCCAGACACTAGCCACATCCACAGCAGGGGTAGCCACAGACCCACAAAACCTGCCTCCCCACAGCCTCGGGGAGCTCGGGGATGGTGCTGCCCACCCCCCTGCCAGCCGAGCCCCGGGGCAGAGCCCACGGCCACAGCAAAGCCCCTCTGCTCCAAACCCACTCCTGCACCTCCCAGACCTTCATCCTGCAAACATCCCACCCCGACGGAGCGGAGCCACCGTGGGCAGAACCAGACACTAGCCACATCCACAGCAGGGGTAGCCACAGACCCACAAAACCTGCCTCCCCACAGCCTCGGGGAGCTCGGGGATGGTGCTGCCCACCGGTCCCGCTGCGAAGGCTGGGGTGCTGCTGGAATAACAGCCCCTTCCCTGGGGCACGGGGGGCGCCAGGGGGCAGCAGCAGGGCCCCCCCAGCACCCCGGGGAGGGTGGGTGGATGCGTGGCGGATGCAGGCACAGAGGGGCAGCCGGGAGGGATGGGAGCGAGCCCCATTTCGGAGCCATTTATCACCCCCCCTCGCACAGACAGCACTAAGATTAAATGGGGAGGGGGGGGACACAGGACTCCGCGCCAGCTCCCGGCTGCCCACGCACCCCCTGTGCGGGAGCGGGTCCGGGACCCCCATTATATTGCGATTCCCTCCCTAAAACTCCATCCCCGCGGCGGCTGCAGCTCCCGG